CCCCAAAACCCCAAAACCCCAAAACCCCATAATATATTTGTAACAAATAGAGGTAAATATAAAAATGAATTTAGTAAGAATTATTACAGAATGTAAGTAAGTTAATATTTAATTCCTTTGTGATATGTATAATTAGAGAAATTATATTAGAATATTACACAATATGCAAATGAACAGTATTTATGGCAAAAGTTCAACAAAAATTAGAGGAAGTCTTTTGAAATGTATAAAGAAATGAGATATTTATGGAAAACCAATAACTCTTACATATCAGAATAGTTAAACATTCAAATCAAGCATTGGAGGGCTCTTAACTATAATTACAAAATTGTCCATATTGATCTTCTTCCTATTAGAGGCAGCGAATGTTCTCAAATAGTAAAGTATAATAAAAAACTCATACTATATCAAGGATCTGGCTAATGATATAACGGAATATTGATTTGACCAATCAAATTTCGATATAGCAGTCTCTTTGTCGATAATTAATGATTGGTCCTAAACAATCACTCCAATTATACACAGATATGCTCTTGTATCAATCTCATAGATGAGCTTTGGATTCGTCGTCAAGGATGAAACATTAGTCTGGGAGACCAGGGAAGATGACTTTCCTCTGATTAGGTGCCCTCCTGGAAGATTTTTAGGCGAGAAAAAAATAACAGAAACTTTGAATATTGAGTCTTCATTCTTATGCCCTGATAATTTCAATCTAACTCTTTAGGGAAGCTTTACCAGCAAATAGGCTAAATTTCTAAGAATTAATGTAAGAAGATGCGAGGAAAGCAGATTGAAAAAAATTTATCCCAATGAGACATGTGCCAGTTCAACTGAAATAGATAAAGTGTTTGAAAATATGCAGCTATTTATTCCCATGTTCAATTAGTATTTTGATGACTATGATCATTCACCTAACCCAATTAAAACGACAATACAAAATTCCTATTTTACTACATTACCTAATGTTGCTTAGTCCTATTTTATGAAAATTTCTCAAAACAAAGCTGTCATAAGGGATTCGTATTTATCTAATAATATTCACGAATAGACTTTTCTCTATTACACAATAAGATAGGAATACCAATTTAACAAACTTCATGACAGTACTTTCTCTCCTATTCAAATCACAGTAGCGTTAGATGAAAACTTTAAATAAACTATTAGAGAGACCTATACATTAGCAGATGCTCTCTCAAATACAGGTGGTTTTATGTAGATTGTAAATATAATTGCTATGTTCTTAGTTAGTGGAATATAGAATAAACTATATTACTTCTCTATTATTAAGGAATTACTTATCCATAAAGAATATTAACCAAAATAAAGAGTAAAAGGAAGATTTGAATTTTTGATGGAAGAAAAATCTGTTAATGGAATGATTTCAACAAAATTAAAAGATAATGAAGATTTATTAAATTAAACGAATCGAAAAGAAACAAACATAAATTCTTCTAGATCTTATAATAAAATGGAATTACTTGGTCTTATTAAGTAGTGATCCTAATTTTTGTACAGTTTCAATGATTTAGTTAAGTATTGGCATTCAAGAATGAGATGTAAATTAAAAGATTCTATAACATAAAAATATTAGTTGTTTAAGAGAGGGAAATAAATGGTAGACTCAAAATTTGACATCGTAAATCTGTTTCACTAGATAAGAGTTAGTAAACTACTAGCACAAATACATTTAAGTAAACACTAAAGATTTTTAATGGCTTACTTCAATGACAGACTAATATCTCTTAAAAGCCAAAACTAGCAAGAGTATTTTTAGAGTGATTATGAAGAAAGAATTAAAAGTTGGTCCTAAATTAATGATGTATAGAAATCAAAGATTCAAAAGTATCTAAGCTAACTAATAAAATCATCAGAAAAATCCTAGGTAGATAAGAGAATATTAAAGAACTTGATTGACAAGGATGAAGCATTATCAATTAACTCCTCTAATTAAAATTAACAAGATCTTGAATGTTTTAATAATGAGGTGAATGTTTTTAAGGAGTTAAATGGAAGATCGTGTTCATCTGCTCTAGATGAAAATAATTAAAGAGTTGATTTAAAGTAAAGCATAAAAAAGAGCAAAAAAAAAGGTTTAAAAAGCAAAAAACTAGTTAAAAAATCATAGATAATAAATAGAAATGGAGAATTACTAAATAAGGACTTTGGTTCTACTGATGATAGTAAAAGTCTCAAAACTAAAATTACGCAATTATAATAGTTATAAACAGATAGGAAGTACAAAATTAGCAGTTAACAAATCGTAGAGTCTTTTTATGATTGAAGATTTTGGCCAATAACTATTTAAATAAGTTTATCTCACGAGAATTCATAGGTAATTTTAGATAGATAAAATGATTTAATAAATTTTGATTATTCCTTCTTTTGAATTTCAAATTTTCTTTAGATTTATCAAAAGGGGTTTTGGGGTTTTGGGGTTTTGGGG